GGGGTTTTCTTTCTTTCTTTCTTTTTCTACATTGTAGAATAATAGTTAAGACATCAAAACTATGAAATAACACATATGGAATCATGTAGTAACCAAGAAAGTGTTAAACAAATGAAAATATATTTTATATTTGAGATTCTTCAAATAGCCACCCTTTGCCTTGATGACAGCTTTGCACACTCTTGGCATTCTCTCAACCAGCTTCATGAGGTAGTCACCTGGAATGCATTTAAATTAACAGGTGTGCCTTCTTAAAAGTTTGTGGAATTTCTTTCCCTCTTAATGTGTTATTTCATAGTTTTGATGTCTTCACTAATATTCTACAATGTAATTTTTTTCTCACAAATATAGAAAAACCCTTGAATGAGTGTCCAAACTTTTGACTGGTAGTGTATATCGGATCTCCAATTCCTCTCAAAAATCTTTGAAAAAGTTGTTGTGCAGCAACTCACTGCATTCCTGAAGACAAATAATGTATACGAAACGCTTCAGTCTGCTTTTAGACCCCATCATAGCACTGAGACTGCACTCGTGAAGGTGGTAAATGACCTTTTAATGGCGTCAGACCAAGGCTCTGCATCTGTCCTCATTAGGTCCTCTGATTGAGTGTAGTCTGGCCCAGGGGTGCGAAGGTGAACAGCAAGGCACTGGAGCAACAAACTGCCCTTGCTGTCTGCCTGGCCGGCTCCCCTCTCTCCACTGGGATTCTCTGCCTCTGACCCTATTATGGGGGCTGAGTCACTGGCTTACTTGTGCTCTTCCATGCCGTCCCTAGGAGTTGTGCGTCACCTGAGTGGGTTGTGTCACAGACGTGATCTTCCTGTCTGGTTTTGCGCCTCCTCGGGCTCGTGCGGTGGAGGAGATCTTCGTGGGCTATACTCAGCCATGTCTCAGGGTAGTAAGTTGGTGGTCTGTTGATATCCCTCTACTGGTGTGGGGGCTGTGCTTTGGCAAAGTGGGTGGGGTTATATCCTGCCTGGTTGTCCCTGTCCGGGGGTATCGTCGGACGGGGCCACAGTGTCCCCCGACCCACCCCTGTCTCAGTATCTATGCTGCAATAGTCTATGTGCCGGGGGGCTAGGATCAGTCTGTTATATCTGGTGTAATTCTCCTGTGTTATCCGGTGTCCTGTGCGAATTTAAGTATGCTCCCTCTAATTCTCTCCCTCTCCCTCCCCTCCCGGAGGACCTGAGCCCTAGGATCATGCCTCAGGACTAGCTGGCCTTATGACTCCTGGCTGTCCCCAGTCCACCTGGTCGTGCTGCTGCTCCAGTTTCAACTGTTCTGCTGCAGCTAGGGAACCCTGACCTGTTCACCGGACATGCTACCTTGTCCCGGACCTGCTGTTTTCGACTCTCTCTCTACTGCACCTGCTGTCTCGACCTCTGAATGCTCGGCTATGAAAAGCCAACTGACATTTACTCCTGAGGTACTGAGCGGTTGCACCCTCTACAACCACTGTGATTATTATTTGACCCTGCTGGTCATCTATGAACGTCTGAACATCTTGAAGAACAATCTGGCCTTAAATGGCCATGTACTCTTATAATCTCCACCCGGCACAGCCAGAAGAGGACTGGCCACCCCTTCTTCCCAGGTTCCTGCCTTTCTAGGGAGTTTTTCCTAGCCACCGTGCTTCTACATCTGCATTGCTTGCTGTTTGGGGTTTTAGGCTGGGTTTCTGTATAGCACTTTGTGACATCTGCTGATGTAAAAAGGGCTTTATAAATACATTGGATTGATTGTAGGCATATGGCCAATGACTAACCAATTGTTTTGTGATCAATAACCCTCTATTTGATAAATATTCAGTGATGGCAATGCCGCATCCATATCATACTGCTGGTTCTTCATTTTGTCAGTATTTATATATTCTGTTAGAGCTGGCATGGAGCCTAGAGTTTAGAGGTCCGAAGGGAAAAAAATCTGATGGAGCCGGCTGCAATTGGAGGGTTACTGTCATCAGGGGTGTATTCATTACACAGATTCTGTTAAATGTTTCTTAAACCGATTGAAACAGAGAGGGACCTACCTGAATTTGTCCAATAGAAACTCTCGTTTTAGTTGCAAAATGTAACGATTTGCAACAGTTTGGAATAATGATTACACCCCAGTATCCTAGATGCCATTGCCATCTCCTGCCGTTTTGCCCTTGAACAAGACCCTTAACCCATAAACTACTCCAGGGACGCTGCACTGTGGCTGATCCTGTACTTCCAATCCCTCAGCCTGCGTGTGTGACTCGGGTGGGTTGATCAACCAAAAATACATATTTTCGTTCTCTCCAAGAAAATGTATAATTAAGTTCCTCTTTAGCCTTAAGGTTAGAGAAGCGGGTCAGTAAGCGTTGGATTGCTGGTTCGAATCTCAGAGAAAGAAAAAAAACCCAGAGGAAAGATCTAGTGGGAATGAACTTGCAACTGGAGGCATGCTGGTATCAGAATCTCAGGTACCTAGTGCCGTTTGTGCCCTTGACAAAGGCACTTCACCACTAACCTGCTCCGGGGAACTGCTCTGCAGCTGACTCGTGCTGCTTCCAGCCTTGTGTGTGTGATGTCCAGAGGTCAGGAATGAAATAACTGCCGGCAAAATACATTTCCGTTTCGATGGATAATAAAGGTTGTACTGTATAGTTTTGAACAAAATGGTCACTAGCACACAAGCTAGGGTAAAGTAGAGTGTTTCAGTATTACAAGGTAGTTCAATCAATGAAACTGCTCTGGATTTAGGAACGGATTTACGCAATGTGGGTATTCTGGGACTCCGAGAGAGAGATGTCTCTGCTGAGCAGTAGCAGTGCGTGGGTAAAATCACTGGGGAAGCCAAGCCAGAAACAAAAGCCATATTACAACCTATGTGTTGTGATAATTGCGTTGTTTGCTCTATAACCTGTTAATTCATATGCCTTGCGACCATGATATATAGGCCTAAGGCCGAGACAATAAGAAGACACAGTGGCAGAATAAATTCAACCACACCTTTGTTTCATCACAAAACTGGAGAGCAACCTGTCCGGTGAAGTCCACAAAGCATGTTGCATGTAACAAACAGTTAAATGATCTACAGCATGGTCAAGCAAGTTAATGTTTCCGACATTTTCAGACTACTAAACTATTAATTTAGAACCACGGAGTTACCACAAGTCGCAAAGAAAACAGGAGCTGCCTCCACTATTCCAGTACCATTTCAACATCATCAAATCACCTATGCTTAGTCTAATACAGTGACAACTAAAAGATACCAAAAACAAATGTAAGCTAAATATGTGGCTGTCCATGGTTCTGATTTGTGTGTGCGTTTGTGTGTGTGTGTGTGTGTGTGTGTGCGTGCAGAAAAAACATGTTAACTCACCCTACTTGTAGAGAAATGACAATGCCATCCTCCTCTCTTTCATGCTGACTAAACGGTCTATCACTGTCATACAGTACACACTTTTATTTTTTGTTGTCCCAGGCTACCTGGCTAAAATGCTTGCTTGCTAGCATAACTTCCATTCATGGGCAACGTTAGCTAGTTAACATTAACCTTCTACATCTAGCTACATACTTAACTTCCATCATCTCACTCCAGGGGCACAATGTATGAATTTATGGTTGGATCAGAATCACCATTATAATCATTGGCCAGTACGGAGAATTAAGTAAAACCACAAGTCCAAATCCCTATCTCCATCCATGGCTAATTTAGCAAAGGGACAATTTTAGCTAGCTAGCTAGCCACCGGAGGAAAACAACACAATGAGATGCAACAATTCAAGTCGTTTCTGTCTATGACCTATTTCTCTTGATGCGATAGGAGTGAAGCCAATTCCAAACTGGCTTCCCTTGACACTATTTTTTTGGTGCGCCAGGACCATTCACAGTTGAGCTCGCTCAGTTTAGCTTAACGCTGACTGGCTATTATTTTATACTTTTTTTTATCAAGGGAGGCCAAATGCTCACTGGCTTCCCTTGCATTCAATGCTACGGGCAGCAACAATGTCACTCTTTATGACCAGAATGGCCTACACATACAGAGACAGAGGTGCACTGTTACGCTTGCTCGGATCCTTTTCTGGTGAGATACATTCAGCCTCTTGCGAATTTAAGGACAATTATGAAAAAACAGAGACGAAAGATAAATGATTTTATATATATTTTTCTTGATACATTCTTTGGGGAAGCCTGGCTTTCTTTGGTATCCATGAAAACACACCATTGCTGATGAGTCTGGCGGGCTAGCGCCAAGTTGCCCAGGGGTTTCCTTATTGCACTTTCTTCTCATAACCTAGCACCTAATTTCACTAATTTTACAACGTTGGCATCATTCCTCACACTTTTTCAACTTGTGATTTTCGTGATGCAGCTGCCGGGTCCCAGATGCAAGTGTGAAGTTTCTCAATGGGTACATTAAAATAGTCTAAAGTGGTTTCCTCTCCAGTCTCTATGGCTACACAATTAATATGCACTGATGTTTTCAGATCGGTGCAGATGAAGAGGAGGAAGCTACTTGAGACTATTAAGGTGCACCCATCTCTAAAACAGAAGGCCTTGGCAAGGTTGAGAGGGGATTTCACCCTGGTGATTTCTACTCTACAAGGATAACGCTCAATGATTAAGGAACTGGTCATAACATTTTGTGTACCCACATGCTTAATACATTTAGACACCAACCAAACCAATATCTTAACCATTAGACCAAGAGGACATTTTCTAAATCAGTGTTTCTTAATCCTGGTCCTGGGGACCCAAAGGCTGCAAAAAATGTTTTGGGCAGTAGCACTACACATCCAATTCCACTAATCAACTTAACATCAAATCTTTATTTAGTGGAATCAGGTGTGTAAAACAAAAATGTGCACCCCTTTGGGTCCCCAGGACCAGGACTAAGAAACACTGTCCTAAATAGAAGGCTTAATGACACAAGGAAATGTAGTGTCCATGAGATCAATACCTCACTTGGAATAAATATTGAAAATACAGGTTTAAACAAAATTATGTTTATTTATGTATATTTACAGACCCAGTCATATCTGCAACTACATAGCAGAACCTTCTAAAAAAAAAAAAAGAGTACACACGTTTCCCCAAGTGGAATGTCCACTGAGTGTAGGGCCTAACGAGCTCAAGGGGTCAAAGGTCACGACAACGCATTGAGATCGCGTTCAGGAGGGTGCAATGCATTGAACGGAATAGGCCATTACATATCGGCTCAAGGATAATATAAAAAAAGACATTGATGAGAGACAGACTAATAATGGTTCACACTTAAAAGAAAACTACATTTACTCATAAGGTACCCTTGTTTCTAGACAAGGTAGGGCTAATACCAGGGCTAAAGGTTGCTGCTGGTATCTTTCCACACAGTTGCATCAAATGGCTAACAGTAAACTGCAAAAATAATAAAGGACTATCATAAGTAATGTAAAGAAGCCTAGAAATCCCATCGATCAGACAAATGTTGCGTTAAAGGAGGAACAGAAAGCAAAACCACTAGCCTACATCAACACACATACTATTCATATACGTTTGACATGTTTCAATGTAACAGGGAAATAAATATAAAGACATCTTTAATAATCCCGAAAACTATTCAGTCGCTGAGTCTGTTGTGTGTCGAGGCAGTGTGAGCGTTTTGATGCATAGCCGCACTGCTCCTAGCGCTTACGTCTAGTAGAAAACGACTACAAAACATTGCACTCCATCTAAAAACAACAGACCATTTTTCAGGGAGTTGAGATTATGCAGCTATCGCCTCTCTTGGCAGAAAGCGACATGGAAGTCATTTACAAAAATAACTACATGGGAGAAATTAAGAGGGAGACAGAGAGATATAAATGCTTCTAAAATATTGTACCATAGACCTGAATGACTGGCAGCTTATTTCCTGTATATCTGGCCACATCCCCAGAGAACTTCCATTCCCCCTGTGAACAGTGGGAGACGAGAGTCCTGTACCAGAGAGAGAGAGGTATGGTGCATCACTGATGCCTGGCTAGCTGTCTGTCTGTCCGTCAGTCACTCTGGGGAAGAGGGTTCGTCGTCATCATTGTCATCGTCCTCCTCTTCCTCGTTGAAGGAGCTGGGCGTCTGGCCTCGAGACTCGGAGAGGGCGGTGCTACTGTGGCTGTAGCTCCGCCTTCCATTCAAAGAGGCGGAGTCCAGGTCACCTGGGAAAGAGCTGAACAACGACAACCCACACCACCGGTCAGTCACTTCAGTTCTCAAATTAAAATCAATCATGTCTCCTTAAGTAATTCATATTTCTATGATCCCTGTGTGGCTTGAGCTTTTCTGTTATCAGTAAGAAGAAACACAGGATCACTTCCTGGATACCTCCCAAATGGCACCCTATTCCCTATATAGTGCACTACTTTTGAACAGAGCCCTCTGGGCCGTGGTCAAAAGTAGTGCACTATAAAGGGAATCGGATGCCATTTGGTACACACTCTTCATGTGTAGTGTTCCTGTGTGGCAGTGGATTGTGTTCAAATCATGTTTTGATTGAAAAGTTATGAGAGGTAATCTACCTTGTTTGACTGGTGCCTCTTGCCATGCCTGTGGGAGGGAAGACGAGGACAGATTGAAATGACAGAAATGGCCTGTTTCCACACGCACACACGTCAAAGATGCCATTTTCCCACTCTCACCTATGACGTAGGTCTCCAGAGACCTGGGGATGAGGGACTTGGCCACAATGAGATTGTCTGCGCTGCACTTCCCACTCTCCAGGCCCAGGGACATCCCCATGCGCTTCAGAATCTCTATGTCGTCATGGATCTCAAAGGTGTTGTCAAAGTTGAAAAGGTATTCGCATCTACAGTAGGGACGTCAAATGTTCAGACTGCTGCACAGAACCTATGGACACTCTAGTCTAGAGCGCATGGTTAAATTGTGCTTAGGAGCATTTTTTTACTCTCCATGGTTAAAGTAGGATGTAATAGATGTCATTGTAAAAATGTGTGTGTTCTACATTTAATATCATCATATATTAAACATATTAAATTACTTTGACATATTTCATTATGTTATCAATCAATCAAATGTAATTATAAAGCCCTTTTTACATCAGCAGATGTCACAAAGTGCTATACAGAAACCCAGCCTAAAACCCCAAACAGCAAGCAACGCTAATTTCTCTATGGTGGACAGAACGCGTTACTACAGTCGTGGTCAAACGTTTTGAGAATGACACAAGTATTGGTCTTCGCTGCTTCAGTGTTATGAGATATTTCAGACGTTACTATGGTATACTGAAGTATAATTACAAGCATTCCATAAGTGTCAAAGGCTTTTATTGACAATTACATTAAGTTTATGCAGAGAGTCAATATTTGCCGTGTTGATCCTTCTTTTTCAAGACCTCTGCAATCCGCCCTGGCATGCTGTCAATTAACATCTGGGCCACATCCTGACTGATGACAGCCCATTCTTGCATACTTAATGCTTGGAGTTTGTCAGAATTTGCCTCTTGAGGATCGACCACAAGTTCTCATTGGGATTAAGGTCTGGGGAGTTTCCTGGCCCTGGACCCAAAATGTCAATGTTCTGTTCCCCGAGCCACTTAGTTATCGCTTTTGCTTTATGTCAAGGTGCTCCATCATGCTGGAAAAGGCATTGGTCGTCACCAAACTGTTCTTGGATGGTTGGGAGAAGTTGCTCTCGGAGGATGTGTTGGTACCATTCTTTATTCATGGCTGTGTTCTTAGGTAAAATTGTGAGTGAGCCCACTCCCTTGGCTGAGAAGCAACCCAACACATGAATGGTCTCAGGATGCTTTACTGTTGGAATGACACAGGACTGATGGTAGCGCTCACCTTGTCCAGATGCCCCAAACAATCGGAAAGGGGATTCATCAGAGAAAATGACTTTACCCCAGTCCTCAGCAGTCCAATCCCTGTACCTTTTGCAGAATATCAGTTTGTCCCTGATGTTTTTCCTGGAGAGAAGGGGCTTCTTTGCTGCCCTTCTTGACACCAGGCCATCCTCCAAAAGTCTTCGCCTCACTGTGCGTGCAGATGCACTCACACCTGCCTGCTGCCATTCCTGAGCAAGCTCTGTACCGGTGGTGCCCCGATTCCGCAGCTGAATCAACTTTATGAGACGGTCCTGGCGCTTGCTGGACTTTCTTGGGCACCCTGACACCTTCTTCACAACAATTTAACCTCTCTACTTGAAGTTCTTGATGATCCGATAAATGGTTGATTTAGGTGCAATCTTACTAGCAGCAATGTCCTTGCCTGTGAAGCCCTTTCTGTGCAAAGCAATGATGACGGCACGTGTTTCCTTGCAGGTAACCATGGTTAACAGAGGAAAAACAATGATTTCAAGCACCACCCTCCTTTTAAAGCTTCCAGTCTGTTATTCTAACTCAATCAGCATGACAGAGTGATCTCCAGCCTTGTCAACACTCTCACCTGTGTTAACGAGAGAATCACTGACATGATGGCAGCTGGTCCTTTTGTGGTAGGGCTGAAATGCAGTGGAAATGTTTTTTGGGATTAAGTTCATTTTCATGGCAAAGAGGGACTTTGCAATTAATTGCAATTCATCTGATCACTCTTCATGACATTCTGGAGTATATGCAAATTGCCATCATCAAAACTGAGGCAGCAGACTTTGTGAAAATTTGTATTTGTGTCATTCTCAAAACTTTTGACCACAACTGTACATTAGAGACATGTTTTCAACACACAAGAATTACAGGAAATACACATCGTTTTTACCTCAGATTGGTGATGTTAGTTTTAAAGTTTATAGTCATCACGATCTCACAAAATCGATTGCTTAAAACAGATCGATCAGTTTTTTTTGGTCATTTTCAGACCACTGTGGCTAGGAGAAAAAAAAGGGTGCTCCTCCCATAAACGTCTCTGGCCTGACATGAATTGATGGATTTGAGGGTTACGCTGTCATTCAAATGAAAGCCAAACCCTTTCGCTATTTAGAAACCGATGTGAGCTGGTGATTCGTTGAAATTATCCAGTCAAAAAAGTGTTTCCTTTTCCGTATTCGCCATCTAACAAAATAATTTTCTCACAGAGAAGAGGCGACTCCGGGATGCTGACCTTCTAGGCAGAGTTGCAAAGAAAAAGTCCAGTGTCTGTGTTCTTTTGCCCATCTTAATCTTTTTCTTTTTATTGGCCAGTCTGAGATATGGGTTTTTCTTTCCAACTCTGCCTAGAAGGTCAGCATCCCGGAGTTGCCTCTTCACTGTTGACGTTGAGACTGGTGTTTTGCGGGTACTATTTAATTAAGCTGCCAGTTGAGGACCTGTGAGGCGCCTGTTTCTCAAACTAGACACTCTAATGTATTTGCTCAGTTGTGCACCGGGGCCTCCTACTCCTCTTTCTATTCTGGTTAGAGCCAGTTTGCGCTGTTCTGTGAAGGGAGTAGTACACAGCGTTGTACGAGATCTTCAGTTTCTTGGCAATTTCTCACATGGAATAGCCTTTATTTCTTAGACCAAGGATAGACTGACGAATTTCAGAAGAAAGTTCTTTGTTTCTGGCCATTTTGAGCCTGTAATCGAACCCAAAATTGCTGATGCTCCAGATACTCAACTAGTCTCAAGAAGGCCAGTTTTATTGCTTCTTTAATCAGCACAACAGTTTTCAGCTGTGCTAACATAATTGCAAAAGGGTTTTCTAATGATCAATTAGCCTTTTAAAATGATAAACTTGGATTAGCAAACACAACGTGCCATTGGAACACAGGACTGATGGTTGCTGATAATGGGCCTCTGTACGGCCTATGTAGATATTCCATTAAAAATCTGCCGTTTCCAGCTACATTAGCCATTTACAAAATTAACAATGTCTACACTGTATTTCTGATCAATTTGATGTTATTTTAATGGACAAAAAAATTGCTTTTCTTTCGAAAACAAGGACATTTCTAAGTGACCCCAAAGTTTTGAACGGTTGTGTATATTTTAATCATGGTAAAACCTTGTGATCCTAACTGAATTTACTCTTAGCACTGTAGGAGAAGTGTCAGAGTTTCAATGATAAAGGCGCAATGAACATGTGCGTTATACTACTGTGGCAATTGGATTAGCAATTCAGTAGTGAGTGACCTAGAGTTGTCTTTGCAATAGGCATTAGGGTGAAGGAGTTGCGGTGAAACATACTTGTCGCTGGAGATGGAGCAGTCGATGACGGTGCGTACGTCTGTGTTGAGGATGATGAAGGGGAGCTGGATGACAGAGCCGGAGGGGGGAGGGGCCAGGGAGGAAGCCTCGCTGGCTATGTTTCTCTGCACCAGGTTCTTGAAGGCGATTTGCTGTTTGAGGAGAGATGAGCAATGTTCAGAAAAACATCGATTTAGTTTGCCTGGCTACGGTATTCCATTAATCTTCCATAGGTCCTGAACTTTCGAACACACCTATCCACACAGACACTTTTAAATACATTGTTACTACAACTACAGCTAATCTTACCAATACATACTCTAAAAACATCTATCCCAACATACACAAAGACACATTTTCAATCTCTGAAGGTTGAGCGTGTATGATTCATGTGTGGAACTACATCATACGTCACGCATGGGGCAACAAGTCTTTCCTGGTCAGGTTATGTGGTCAGGAAAAATGCCTGGCCCTAGCATATCGTGGCAAAATCGATTCTGAGCGAAAACATCAGAGGAATCGGAGCTTAGACTGAAGCTTAAATTTAGCTTTAGAGTGAGTTACCTTCACCAGGGCAGAGCAGTAGGGAGCCAACACACCATCAATCGGAGATGCAATGAATGAAAATTATCCGTGGAGCGGTACATTTAAAGAAACAGACTGCGAACACATTTCAGTGATCGCCGAGTCCTTCTCACAGGGAGAAGTAATCAATCAAGAAATCTTCAACCCCTCTCACACCCTCTGGCCTTCTGGGAACTCCATTGGGTCACACAAAGGTTCCCTTTCATATGCTAATGATATGCTAACGATAGGCTGGTGTTTTTCAATAGACTTATAGATGAACAGCTGCCTAGCTCATCACTCACGACCAAGGTATCTGACTTTCATCTCTCTCCCTCTCACACGCGCATACACACACACACACACAAAGAGATAAGCATGTACACACCCACGAATGCATTCAAACACACGCGCGCACACAGACACACACATACCAGGGACTGCTCCGTACCTGCAGTATGAGTTCTTCCAGCTGAGTTCTCTTCTGTCTGATCCTCTTCAGGCGTTTCTGTTTCTCCACCTGATTGGGGAAACAGTTTAATTATTTTAGAAAGGACTGGTAGAACATAACTGTCTAATTTACATTTTAGTCATTTAGCAGACGCTCTTATCCAGAGCGACTTACAGTTAAGTGAGTGCATACATTTTTCATACTAATAGTAATACAAATAAAACATTACATAAATAATCCTAAAGCAAAACAAACAAGCAATTTAAAAAGAAACATAGGCTACAACAGTAGCTAGATCAGCATGTGGTGTTTCTTGAAGCCTCCAAATGGCGGCCATGGTCATGACAGGGTTTGGAAGTTAATGACTAGATGTAGATGGTCAGCGGGGATGTCTTGTGCCCCTCTTCCATCCAACCCCCACTCCACCTTCACCCCGTGCTTCAAGAGCCCTACCCATATCCACCACCCAGACAGTTACTATCGTTATTTAAGTAACTGACCAGAGTAAAGCAAGACAATTACTATTTGTATTGTCAGACAGTAGTGATGGCATGCTGAAGTGCTCTGCTGTCAAAACAGCCCAGCGGTAGGAGTACTCCACTCTCTGTCTCCCCACTCCCCCCCCCCCCCCTTCTCCCTGTCACCATCATGCCCAGTCCTCTACCAGAATGGGTCACTGTGTTTATCGTGACAGATCTATGCTCTGCAGAAAGTTGACATGATATACAGTGCTTTCGGAAAGTATTCAGACCCCTTGACCTTTTCCCCATTTCTACACACAATACCCCATAATGACAAAGCAAAACCAAGTTTTTAGAAATGTTTGCAAATGTATTAGTAAAAAATTATAAGTATTCAGAGCTTTTAATCAGTACTTTGTTGAAGCACCTTTGGCAGCGATTACAGCCTCGAGTCTTCTTGGGTATGACATTACAAGCTTGGCACACCTGTATTTGGGAAGTTTCTCCCATTCTTCTCGGCAGATCCTCTCAAGCTCTGTCAGGTTGGATGGGGAGCATCGCTGCACAGCTATTTTCAGGTCTCTCCAGAGATGTTCGATCGGGTTCAAGTCCGGGCTCTGGCTGGGCCACTCAAGGACATTCAGAGACTTGTCCCGAAGCCACTCCTGCGTTGTCTTGGCTGTGTGCTTAGGGTCGTTGTCCTGTTGGAAGGTGAACCTTTGCCCCAGTCTGAGAACCTGAGCAGGTTTTAATCAAGGATCTCTCTGTACTTTGCTCTGTTAATCTTTCCCTCGATCCTGACTAGTCTCAGAGTCCCTGCCGCTGAAAAACATCCCCACAGCATGATGCTGCCACCACCATGCTTCACCGTAGGGATGGTTCCAGGTTTCCTCCAGACGTGATGCTTGGCATTCAGGCCAAAGAGTTCAATCTTGGTTTCATCAGACCAGAGAATCTTGTTTCTCATTATCTGAGAGTCCTTTAGGTGCCTTTTGGCAAACTCCAATCAGGCTGTCATGTGTGGCCAGCTCTTGGAAGAGTCTTGGTGGTTACAAACTTATTCCATTTAATATTGATGGAGGCCACTGTGTTCTTGGGGACCTTCAATGCTGCAGAATATTTTTGGTACCTTTCCCCAGATCTGTGCCTCGACACAATCCTGTCTTGGAGCTCTACAGACAATTCCATTGGCCTCATGGCTTGGTTTTTGCTCTGACATGCATTGTCAACTGGGGGACCTTATTTAGACAGGTGTGTGCCTTTCCAAATCATGTCCAATCAATTGAATTTACCACAGGTGGACTCCAATCAAGTTGTAGAAACATCTCAAGGATGATCAAAGGAAACAGGATGCACCTGAGCTCAATTTCGAGTCTCATAGCAAAGGGTCTGAATAAATAAATAAGGTAAATAAGGTATTTCTGTAAATCTTTAATACAACAATTGCAAACATTTCAAAAAACCTGTTTTCACTTTGTCATTATAGGGTATTGTGTGTAGATTGATGAGGAAAAACATTTATTTAATCCATTTTAGAATAAGGCTGTAACGTAACAAAATGTTGAAAGATTCAAGGCGTTTGAATACTTTCTGAATGCACTCTAGAAGAGAACTGAAAGGGTCTCATTTTCCTTCCCCTTTCCGTTGTCTGTGCTCCCCTCACGCCATTTATTTCTCTCTGTCCGCCTGTCCCTATTTTCCTGAGAGGTGACAGTGACAGATGTCATGGAGTGGCTATCAAGGCTCACTTTCAGCTCCCAGAGAGAGCTCTGCTGGTTTAAAGTGTGTGTGTATGTGTGTGTGTGATCACCTCCAGGTTTTGACACTCCTGGGCTGAGTTGGTGGGCAGGCCGATCCAGCGGATCTCCTTCTTCTCCTTGGAGATGATGTTCATGGCCATCAGCACGTTGAGAGCGTCGTACACGCGCCTGCGGATGTTCTTCTGGTCATACACCTGCTGGGGAGGCAGGGGGATAGAGAGAGAAGAGTGAGGAAAGAGAAAAGAGAAAAGAGAAGCGAGTAAAGAAAATAGATTAACTATAAGAGGAAACATATAATAACAGAGAAGAAAAGAGGTTATGATTCTAAGCTTGTCTTGGGGGTTCAAGGGGCATCTAATTAGTAACTGTCCCACGGTGTTTGTCCCTGGCCAGGAAGACCCACTACCCCTCCTGCGGCGCACTAACTGCTAGCCCTCATGGTTAATCTGTTTTTAATTAATTATACTTTTTAACATTCCACAGGAAGTAAGCAGATTAGGTCTGGGGCCAAGCAATTTTTAAGGGGCTGTGTCATTATTAATACCGGGAAGTATTCAGAGGTTGACCTCCTCCCCACTATTTAAACAGCCTATCTTTCAGTTGGACTTCTCTAACACAATGCTTTGGGACGCAAGGGAACCGTTTGCAACATAAACAACATTCCATAGTCTCTACGAGCTCAAATCTGTCATTCGTTAATTGCTTTTCTTGAACAGTTTATGAATGGAAAAACAAACTTATCTAACAAGAAAATTTAGCTGGAGAAAATAATGCAGCACCGTTTTTGCTGTCTCATGTCAAATTGGACGTATTTTATATGTATTAGCTTATATTTATTCAGGGTAGCCCAATTGAGACCAGGGTCTCATTCCCAATGGTGCCCTGAGTACAACACATTTCTCACAAACAAGAAGAAAAATGTACATTACAAATAAAACAAGAAGAATAAAATGAACCACGTGTTGAGTGTTATCCACTAGCCTGTTGGCCAGATCAGTTTGTTCTTTAGTTATGCATGAAAGGGGATGTTAAGAGGCATTGGCTAAAGTATAGTCAGAGATCTGGCCACCAGGTTAGATCCTCTCAACAACCCCCTACAATACTTTGTCATTCTACTGGCACAATGGGTTAGAGGACCACGGTGCTGGCAACACCAGGGTTGTGTTCATTAGGGCACACAATGGGAAAATATAACTGAAGACCAGCACCGTTTCTCATTGCACAAGTCCAGGTAGTCCCTCCCTGTTTAGTTTCATTCCATTTTCTTCTGTTTGGTGCCTAATGAACACAACCCAGGGTTGTGGGTTTGATTCCTGCATGGGCCACATATACTGAGTATGTTAGTGGTTTTGGATGAAAGCTAAATGACCATACCAAGTCTGCGGCCATGACGGTGGTGGAGTGGGCGAATTCAGCCACCAGTTCGTCGGCCACCTCGTTGTAGGATGTGGTGCCTTTCTTCTGCACCTTCTCACACACCTTCATGGAGAAATGCCTCAGGCCCTTCCCGTTCTTATCGCCCTTCTTCAGCCGCTTGCTGTGGTGGAGCGATCACAAAGAAGCAACCGACACATTAATGACCAGACGGTCACAACATCTAGGGCTAGCTGGTACAGAATTAAATAATAGTTTATTTGTCACATGCACAGGATACAGTAGGTGTAAACAGTACAGTGAAATGCTTACGAAGATGGCACGGCACACACATGACATGCGCGAACGCACTCGCACACACATAACGCTAAAACACACACACTACACCTCCAACTCTACACTTACTTGTCAAGCCTCACCTCACACACATAAACGATATAACACTCAATGGACTCAGTGGATCAGACAATGCAATGTATACAATCCTAATGTAAAACTATGAGTTTCTCTCCAACACTGGCACAAGCAAAAGCACACTTGTGAAAACCATGACACATTAACATAAGCATGATGGAGCTTGGCATGTATGTGAAGACCATAGATTGTGCACCTGCTGACGCTCGCCTCCAATGTGCGGTCACAGAATCACGTGACGTGCGCTCATTAGACGCACCGCTTGTTGATGCTTCAAATTAGTGTATGGCTTTATACTCAGTACACATGCAGAGCCATTTTGTCGATTGCGTACTCATTATAAAGACTCACCAATAGTGTATTTAAAACGATACTAAAGGCTGAAGGGTCATAGCACTATTGGGGATAGACTATAGTAATGGCTTACGTTCCAAATGGCACCCTATTCCCTATATAGTGTACTACCCTATAAGGCTCTGATCAAAAGTAGTGCACTATTCAGGGAATAGGGTGCCATTTGGAACGCACCCATGGTTGTGGTTGGAGCAGCATTTTCTACCCCTACACTCCTAGAGTATTTATCTGGGTTGCAACTAGAACCCCCCGCCCCAGACATATTTTTATCCTCCCATGAGACGAGACATTTATATCAAATGAGTGCAGTTTTGAAGGCTGACTCTCAATTCTTGAGAATGCGTGTGTGTGCGTGTCTCTGGGAATCACATATCAAATCAGACCCCCCCTACCTCTCTATTACCACACACACACCTTGCTACTAGCTAGTTCTTTCCATTGAGGTCTATGTATTTGTGCTCATAGCCACGGCCATTCAGAACAGTACAAAAAGCACTGCCTGTCGAATGCCGACGTGCTCTATAATATGTCAGGAGTCCTCCGGCATATGCTGTGTTGCAGGCACACATGTCCTCCTTCTCACAACGGCTCCAGTGTAATGTAGTTCCTCTAGCTCCCTGTAGGGCTACCCCCAGGGAGAGGGGAAGGGGGGAAGGGAGAAGAAGGGGATTCTCGCATTTCATTACGAGTCACCGCCTCCACATGCAGCTGAAGCACTATCGTTCATCATTTCACGAGGATCGGTGTGCGCGCGCGTGCGTAAAAACATCCCATTCTCAAATCAGCAGAAACAGGGGAACTTTGGGCGAACGTGAATATAAACGGGATAAAATGGATGATTCATTGATGATGAACCGTTAAGCTACACGTGACGCGCCGCCCACAGCAGTGATACAATCACTCGCTTATTCAGGGACTCGTTCTCTGTGATTTAAACACCAAGAGAAACCGAGAGGCGGGTAGTTGGGCATGGAGAGGGGGAAAAAAAGAGAAATCAGGCTAAAAAGAGATATCGGAGCAAAGAAAAGAGAGAGAGGGGTATCAACGGAGCAGGGGGAGTTTTATAGACAGACATTTTGTGTGTGTGTGTGTTCAGGTGAGCGGATTATGTAACCATCATTAGGGTGGTTAGACAGTTGTAGACAACACAACACAGATGTAATGCATTTGGCGACGTGCAATTGGCTAAACGCGCGATGATGTAGAAAACGTCACACGCCAAGGGGAGTAGGCAGAATGTGCATATGCATGAGAGCATGTATGTGTGCGAGAAAGAGAACAGAGAGAGAGAGAGCGAGAGAGGAACAGAGAAGGGGAGAGAGAGAGAGAGAGAAAACGAGGAAGACTATGTAAGTGGATATGTAAAGACAGAGACATGTCAAAGACAGGCGCACACGCAGCCAAGTGAGTGAGCAATCAAATGTCCATTCCCAAACATCCCTCACACTAAACGAACACGGCACAGTTCACTCTAACACGCAGTGCAGTGGAGAGTAGGAGACCACTGCAGAGCCGCTCGTTACATAACTGGAACTCTGAGGAGAAAACACACACGCAGATGGGAAGACCGTGTGTGTGTGTAGTGGGGATGGCAAGGCGCTGCTTGGTGGAAGCTTAGGGTTCAAGTTGTCAGGACAAATTCGTTCCAGACCTCCAGCTACTGTAGCTAGGGAAATTTGGGAAGAATTTAAGAGAGAGAAGACGAGAAACAGGCTGGAGAAATGGTGGTGAATGTGCCATAATGGGTAGAGGGAGTGTAATCATACATGGTGTGAGGAAAACTCAGAGGAACCTTTTCTCCTTAGCAACAGAGGTGCAGCTCTGCACCCCGGCCGGTGCTGCAGCGCGAGGCTGAGCAGGGTTTCTTTGGCAGTGTGTGTCTGCAGAGTGGATCAGGGGTGGAGGAGGGATGACCTTTCACTGAACAGCACAGAGCAGAGCCAACGCATCCGCCACAGAGTGTGCGGGGAGCGTGGGATGGGCCCTGAGAAGACCTCCTCTCACCTGGTGCTTGTGAGCGGGGAGTGTGAGGAATAAAGCATAGACGACAGAAGAGAGAGACAAAACGGAGAGGGAGAGAGACCAGAGATCTGAGCTTACGAGGACCAAACATGACGGAGAGAATACCCAGCCTTGCGTAGTGTAAGTGAGAAAGAGCAAGTATCAGAGAGAGAGAAAGTTGTGTTTGAAAACGATAGAGGGAGAAGGAGTAAGGTAGAAAGGGAGGGAGGGAGAGAGCAAGTGTGGCTGTGCGATTGAATGTGAGAGAAGAAGGGATAGCGAGAGAGAGAGTGAGAGAGAGAGAGGAAGGGAGTGTGAGTGGGTTTGGTCTCATCGGTCTTACTATGTGTTGAATTATTCACTGCTCAGAACGTGGCCTGCAGGAAGCACAGACTCTCACAGGCCTTTAATATTTGAGTGCATGCTGCTCATGGAACCATTTCCACACAAACACACACTCTAGGGCTGCACGATTTGGATAAAATATCTAATTGCAATTGTTTGACCAGATATTGCAATTGCGATTATGAATTGCGATTTTGAAACACTTGGGTGAAAACTTGGCAATTCCATCAGACATGGTTAAAACAACTGTCAGGGTAGAGAACATCACTTCTAAAATGAGATCATATGAATGCATACATACTGTAACCGAATACAAAACCAAAAGAAACAAATCTTTTCCAACATTGTTATAGGCTACATATGATAATAGATAGGATTATTACACATACATATTAACAAACATTCATTTTTAACATGATCATCAAAATATAGTGTGCTGTAAGCGCAGCACTTATCATTAATTCATGAATAACATTATGAGTTCCTATTTCCTATTTTACAATTATGAGTTCTTAAATAATTTATTCAGGCAGGCTGCAGATGGAATAGGAAGCTTATGATTGTGTAATTATGTATAAGTAGGCTCAATCATGTAACACGCAGCCTACCGATTGCAAGGTGCAGCCTGTGTCCAAAACATTGGAGTCTGGTCCAGTCATTCAACGCGACTTTTCGGCTTCTCCCTTAATTTTGTTATACAGTGTTGGGATGGCAACTTGGGAGAAATGTATGCAAAATGGACAACTGCATCTCCTGTCTAGTTTGTTTATCATCTTCTTGAAGCAGTTTTTGCTGAGTGTAAATAGGAACCATGTCTTTGGCTATCTGGTAGGTGAAAGCCTCTATGATTTCTGTGTCTGAGGCACAGGAGGTTGGTAGCACCTTAATTTGGGAGGACGGCCTCGTGGCAATGGCTGGAGCGGAATGGTATCAAATACATGAAAACACATGGTTTCGATGTGTTTAATGCCATTCCATTCACTCCGTTCCAGCCATTATTATGAAAAGCCCCTCAGCCACAACCTCCACTGGTCTGCGGGATTTGTTTTCCTAGGCCGTTCCACTTGATGGCTGGTTTGTGGGTGGCTGGTTGTGGCTGAGGGGCTTTTCTGCTGTCAGCGCATTTTTTTCCCATGCAATCGCCATAAAGTAGGATATGGTTATTCTTCAAAGGGTTAAATACATTGCCCTTTCTCTCCTCACCAGCGTCTAACTGCACGCTTTAAGCAAGGACGCTTGTTATTGGCCAGCATGTGCATGCCATGCAGAGTGAGAGAGCCTGCTTGTGATTGGTCAGGATTTCTGTGCATGTAGAGAGTGAATGAACGGAGTCTAGCGCATCTCATTGGAGGAGGCACCGTAGTCTAGTTTTTGTTGTATTAACAGAGTGTCAAAGAAAGGAGAAAATCGCAGCCTCTTGCGATATGGATATTGCACATGTCAATATCGCAATTTCAATCTGAATTCGATTAACCGTGCAGCACTAACACACTCTGGCCCTGACACACATGTACATCCTACACATGTACACGCACACACATACAGTACCTACACACATACATGTAGACAGACAGCCTCTGATGGTTACATAATCCGCTCACCTGAACACACTCACGCACACAAAAAAAGCCTGCAGGCACTAGTGAATAGGCAGTCATGGTCGCTACTTCTACAAATCCACTGCAGTTCTTACTAACCTGTAGTGTCATTCACTGTGCCCTCGGGAGAGTGCGATGGGGGGGGGGGGGGGGGGGGGGGGGGGACACGAGTTCTGGTAGGGCATGTTACGAGAGAAAAAGAGACAGCACGGGAGAAGAGATGGGACACTGAAAGATAAATAGTATCCAGAGGAGATGACAGAACGGAAGCGAGAGGCAGGAGAGAGGCGGAGGCATGGTGAGAGAGAGAGAGTGCTCTGCTGTAGTGAGTCAGCAGTGGTCTGATCTCTCAGGGGGGAGTGTGTGTGTGTGTGTGTGTGTGTGTGTGTGTGTGTCAGATTGAGATGCATTCTGGACTAACAACAAAAAAACGCCAGACACTGCAGCTGAGCTCTTAAGCAGCCCCCCCCACCTTCCTGCAAATGCACAGCATGCACGTCACCTCCATCTACATTTTGCTGAGCCTGGCAGTTACCTGGCTGAAGAGTCTTCTGAGCACAGCCCATCCCTGCAACACAGACACAGAGAAATCGTTAGTGTGAAGTGAGTGTGTGTACTGTTTAAGATTAATTCAATATTCAAGACTATGTTACTGTAAGTGCGTGTGTGTGTCAGTAGTGTGTCCTCCTAGATTATAACTCATTCCATTGCCTAATGAATTGGTTTGCTTTGGAACTAATGAGACGCTTCAGCTCAATGAGATGCTGTGAGAGAATGCCAGAAAGCATTTTTCCCTCTCTCACTCAGTTTCCCTCGCCCTCTGTCGCCAAAGCGCCAACCTTTCTATCCTACTTTCTATCTCACTGTCTCTACCTGCGACTTGTTTGACTGGATAATCCTCCTGCACTCTTCCTGTCATTTACTTATTTATATTCCTCTATATATCATTCCTCTATATATCATTCCTCTATATATCGTTCCTTTATACAGTGCATTCGGAAAGTATTAAGACCCCTTGACTTTCTCCAAATTTTGTTACGTTACAGGCTTATTCTAAAATAGATTAAATTGTTTTTCCCCCCTCTCAATACCCCATAATGACAAAGCGAAAACAGGTTCAGAAATGTTTCATATGTATAAAAAACAGAAATATAAGTATTCAGACCCTTTACTCAGTACTTTGTTGAAGCACCTTCGGCAGCGATTACAGCCTCGAGATTTCTTGGGTATGACACTACAAGCTTGGCACACCTGTATTTGGGGAGTTTCTCCCATTCTTCTCCGCAGATCCTCTCAAGCTCTGTCAGGTTGGATGGGGAGCGTCGCTGCATAGCTATTTTCAGGTCTCTCCAGAGATGTTCGATCGGGTTCAAGTCCGGGCTCTGGCTGGGCCACTCAAGGACATTCAGAGACTTGTCCCGAAGCCACTCCTGTGTTGTCTTGTCTGTGTGCTTAGGGTCGTTGTCCTGTTGGAAGGTGAACCTTCGCCCCAGTCTGAGGTCCTGAGTGCTCTGGAGCAGGTTTTCATCAAGTATCTTTGTACTTTGCTCCGTTCATCTTTCCGTCAATCCTGACAAGTCCCCTGAAAAACATCCCCACAGCATGATGCTGCCACCACCATGCTTCACCGTAGGGATGGTGCCAGTTTTCCTCCAGACGTGACGCTTGGCATTCAGGCCAAAGAGTTCAATCTTGGTTTTATTAGACCAGAGAATCTTGTTTTTTATGGCCTGAGAGTCCTTTAGGTGCCTTTTGGCAGACTCCAAGCGGGCCGTCATGTGCCTTTTACTGAGGAGTGGCTTCCGTCTGACCACCATAAAGGCCTGATTGGTGGAGTGCTGCAGAGATGGTTGTCCTTCTGGAAGGTTCTCCCATCTCCACAGATGAACTTCCTTGACCAAGGACCTTCTCCCCCGTTTGCTCCGTTTTTTTGGTACCCTTCCCCAGATCTGTGCCCCGACACAATCCTGTCTCGGAGCTCTACGGACAATTCCTTTGACCTCATGGCTTGGTTTATGCTCTGACATGCACTGTCAACTGTGGGACCTTATTTAGACAGGTGTGTGTCTTTCCAAATCATGTCCAATCAATTGAATGTACCACAGGTGGACTCCAATCAAGTTGTAGAAACATTTCAAGGATGATCAATGAAAACAGGATGCACCTGAGCTCAATTTCGAGTCTCATAGCAAAGGGTCTGGATACTTATGTAAATAAGGTATTTATGTTTTTAATTTTTTATAAATTAGCAGAAGCTAACTTTTCGCTTTGTCATTATGGGGTATTGTGTGTAGATTGATGAGGATGTTTTAAAATCAATTTTAGAATAAGGCTGTAACGTAACAAAATGTGGAAAAAGTCAAGGGGTCTGAATACTTTCCGAAAGCACTGTATAATATCTGTCAATCCATAGGCTAACTAACAGGCCACAATAAATACATTACATTGGAAATCTCTACCTAGCAATCCCTGCCTGGGATGTGTGTGTGTATGTACATATTAACAACAATAGTAGTCAGAATAGCAGAATCTACCCACCGGTCAGAAAAATATGAGTCAATGAAATCATGCGTTCGCTTCTTGGCCCTGGAAATAAAAAACAAAAAGTGATGTTAGCTAATAAAAAATCAATACAGGGGATCCTCCTTTACTTAAATTCTTTCCATGTTCTGGAAACAGATCAAAGAGAAGACTGGTTAGAACAACCAGAACATATTATTATGCTAATGTGCAACCAAACAGAGCAGTGATGCGTGTGTTTGTGTGTGCACTCGAGCAAACAAGCAGTTGTGTGTTTGAAAATGTGTAAGTACTTGAGCAAATGAAAAAACATGCATGTTTGTGTAGCAGCTCACCCTTGGGTCCACTTGTTCGCCTCCTGGTTGCATCCCTGGTCGACCATGGTGGGCGTGTGTGTTAAGGGGCTACCTATGAGGATCCCTGTGTGCGAAACTCTCTGTGCCGTGCTGATGATCTACACAGAAAATAAATAAGAAACAGAGGGGTGCATCAGATCGCAGGGTCATGTTCATTTGGGCACATCGTAGCAAAATGTTTAGCAACGGACACGATTGAACGGATGCAAGGATGTCAGGTGATAGGAAGAATATTGGTAGCCAGGGTCCTGTTCATTAGTCACCAAATAACAAAAATAAAAAAGGAATAGCCAACCTGGACTCATTTTCGATTTTCAGTTTCAAAACATATTCCATTTGACACCCTAATGAACACCACCCAGGTGAGTCATTGAGAACAGATTCTGTGCCAAGAAGTGGGTGATTATCTGTGTAGTGACTGAGTACCGAGCAGAATCAGGTTGGGTGTAATATTTGAGAGTCCTACTATGCAGAAGTGTCTCGAAGCTGGAGCTCAACAAAAGAGACATGAGGCGAGATCAGCTGGATGCAGCAGAGTGCTAATAATACCCCCAGCTAATTATAGCACGTCTGTAGCCCCCCACACGCTGTTTCTTCTCCTCCCAGCCAGGCCTTTCTTTTACACTACACCACACAACACACTGGCTGCCACAGATGCAAGAGGATGGGAGACCTGGGGTGTATTCATTAGCACACTACGTAGCAAAACGCTTTGTAACAGAAAACATTTTGCAGCGAAAACAAGAATTTGTTATTGGACAAATTCAGACATTCGGCACAAATGCTTTCGTTTGGTCCCTGGGAAATACACCTCTGATCATCGACTCGACTCTTAACTACCAAAAAAATAGACAGAATCCCAACAGAGGGCTTTCATGAAGAAAAAAACCTGCAGCAGTGGCTCAATTTCCATGAACTTAACATTATAGCCGGTCAATTAGAAAAAAGCCAATTTACTAGTCTAAAGACTCAACTCAATCACACTTACAGTGCATTCGGAAAGTATTCAGACCTCTCGACTTAAAAAAAATTAAACAAAAATGTTGTTGTACTTTTTACCCCTTTTTCGTGATATCCAATTGGTAGTTACAGTCTTGTCCTATTGCTGCAACTCCCGTACGGTTTCGGGAGAGGCGAAGGTCTAGAGCCATGCATCCTCCGAAACACAAGCCGCACTGCTTTTTGACACACTGCTCACTTAACCCGGAAGCCAGCCGCACCAATGCGTCGGATGAAACACTGTACAACTGGTGACCGAAGTCAGTGTGCATGCGCCCGGCCCGCCACAAGGAGTCGCTAGAGCGAGATCCTCCCCTAACCCAGACGACGCTGTGCCTATTGTGCGCCGCCTCATGGGTCTCCCGGTCGCGGCCAGCTTCGACACAGCCAGGGATCGAACCCGGGTCTATAGTAACGCCTCTAGCGCTGTGATCTCCACAGAGGAACTCTGGAGCTCTGTCAGAGTGACCAGCGGGTTCTTGGTCACCTCCCTGACCAAGGCCCTTATCCCCCGAATGGCCGGGCAGCCAGCTCTAGGTAGAGTCTTGGTGGTTCCAAACTTCTTCCATTTAAGAAAGATGGAGGCTACTGTGTTCTTGGGAACCTTCAATGCTGCAGAAATGTTTTGGTACCCTTCCCCCTTCCACAGGGGACCGAGTGGCACAGTGGTCTAAGGCACTGCATAGCAGTGCTAGAGGCGTCACTACAGACCCAGGTTCGCTCCCGGGCTGTATCACAACCGGCCGTGATCGGGAGTCCCATAGGGTGGCGTACAATTGGCCCAGCATTGTCCGGGTTAGGGGAGGGTTTGGCCGGGTTAGGCCGTCATTGTAAGTAAGAATTTGTTCTTAACTGACTTGCCTAGTTAAATAAAGGTTAAATCTGTGCCTCGACACAATCCTGTCTCGGAGCTCTACGAACAAGTCCTTCGCCCTCATGGCTTGGTTTTTGCCCTGACATGCACTGTCAACTGTGGGACCTTATATAGACAGGTTTTGCCTTTCCAAATCATGTCCAATCAATCGAATTTACCACAGATGGACTCCAATCAAGTTGTAGAAACATCCCAAGGATGATCAATGGAAACAGGATGCACCCAAGCTCAATTTCAAGTCTCATAGCAAAGGGTCTGAATACTTATGTAAATAAGGTCTGTTTTTTATTTTTAATACATTTGCAAAATTTCTGAAAACCTGTTTTCGCTTTGTCATTATGGTGTGTAGGCACTGTAACATATTTACAACTGTGACAATGATAAATATACAGTAATTGTCCATTGGGGTGTGGGGGGGGGATTAGGTAGCTGACTAACGGTGTATTTAGCAGCCTAATGGTCTCGGGCTATTGGCAAGTCTGTTCGTTTTAGCCATTATGCTCCTGTACTGCCCACATCTGAGTGATGGAAGCGGGGAGAACAGGCCATGGCTCGAGTGGCTGAGGTCTCTGATGATCTTCTTGGCCTTCCCGCGACACCTTGTGTTGTAGGTGTCCTGGAGGGCAGGCAGTGTGCACCCAATGGTGCGTTCGGCTGAGCATACCACCCTCTGTAGTGCCTTGCTGTCAGCAGTGGAGTTGCCGTACCAGGCTGTGATGCAGCCTGACAGTTTGCGCTCAATGTTGCTCCTGTAGAACACTAAGGGCCCTCAGGGACAGGCCGAATTTCTTCAGCCTCCTGATGTTAAAGAGTCTATGACTTAGGTAGTTGGAGTCTGACCATTTTTAGGGCCTTCCTCTGGCACCGCCTGGTATAGAGGTCCTGGATGGCAGGGACGTACGCAGTGCCCTCTGTAGCGCCTTGCGGTCACATGCCAAGAAGATGCCATACCAAAGAATGATGCAGCCAGTCAAGATGCTCTCAATGGCGCAGCTATATAACCTTTTGAGGATCTGAGGGCCCATGCCAAATCTTTTCAGCCACCTTAGGGAGAAGAGGCGTTGTCATGCCCTCTTCACGGCTGTGTTGGTGTGTGTGGACCATGATAGATCCTAAGTGATGTGGGCACCGAGGAAATTTAAGCTCTCGACCCAGTCGATGTGAATGGCCTCCTGTAGCTCAGTTGGTAGAGCATGGCGCTTGCAACGCCAGGGTTGTGGGTTCAATTCCCACGGGGGGCCAGTATGCACTCACTAACTGTAAGTCGCTCTGGATAAGAGCGTCTGCTAAATGACTTAAATGTAAATGTAATGGGGGTGTGCTGGCCCTCCGTTTCCTGTAGTCCACGATCAGCTCCTTTGTCTTGCTGACATTGAGGGAGAGGCTGTTGTCCTGGCACCACACTGCCAGGTCTCTGACATCCTCCCTATAGGCTGTCTCATCGTAATCTGTGATCAGTCCTACCACAGTCATGTCGTCAGCAACATAATAATGGTGTTGAGTCATGTGCGGCCACGCAGTCGTGAGTGAAAAGGGGTCGCCCCCAGGTGGTGAGGGTAGGCAACTACACATCCGCCATGCTGACCCTCAACACGGGCCCCTCAGGGGTGCGTGCTTAGTCCTCTCCTGTACTCCCTGTTCACTCACGATTGTGTGGCCACATCTGAGTGATGGAATCAGCTAGAAAGCTTCAGCGTGTAAATCAGCTAGAAAGATGTGTCGGCATCGAGTAATTGTCTCTGGCCCCCTCCCAGTTAGGGGAAGTGACGAGCTCTACAGCAGAGTCTCAGCACTTAATCGCTGGTTGAAAACTGTTTTCTGCCCCTCCCAAAAGATAACATTTGTGGATAATTGGCCCTCTTTCTGGGACTCACCCACAAACAGGATCAAGCCTGACCTGCTGAGGAGTGACGGACTCCATCCTAGCTGGAGGGGTGCTCTCCTCTTATCTACCAACATAGATAGGGCTCTAACTCCTTTAGCCCCACAGTGAAATAGGGTGCAGGCCAGGCAGCAGGCTGTTAGCCAACCTGCCAGCTTAGTGGAGTCTGCCAATAGCATAGTCAGTGTAGTCAGCTCAGCCATACCCATTGAGACTGTGTCTGTGCCTCGACCTAGGTTGGGCAAAACTAAACATGGTGGTGTCCACCCTAGCAATCTTATTAGGATAAAGACCTCCTCCATTCCTGCCATTATTGAAAGAGATCGTGATACCTCACATCTCAAAATAGGGTTACTTAATGTTAGATCCCTCACTTCAAAGGCAGTCATAGTCAATGAACTAATCACTGATCATAATCTTGATGTGATTGGCCTGACTGAAACATGGCTTAAGCCTGATGAATTTGCTGTGTTAAATGAGGCCTCACCTCCTGGTTACACTAGTGACCATATTCCCCGTGCATCCCGCAAAGGCGGAGGTGTTGCTAACATTTACGATAGCAAATTTCAATTTACAAAAAAAAAAATGACGTTTTCATCTTTCGAGCTTCTAGTCATGAAATCTATGCAGCCTACTCAATCACTTTTTATAGCTACTGTTTACAGGCCTCCTGGGCCATATACAGCGTTCCTCTCTGAGTTTCCTGAATTCCTATCAGACCTTGTAGTCATAGCAGATCATATTCTAATTTTTGGTGATTTTAATATTCACATGGAGAAGTCCACAGACCCACTCCAAAAGTCCTTCGGAGCCATTATCGACTCAGTGGGTTTTGTCCAACATGTCTCTGGACCTACTCACTGCCACAGTCATACTCTGGACCTAGTTTTGTCCCATGGAATAAATGTTGTAGATCTTAATGTTTTTCCACAAAATCCTGGACTATCGGACCACCATTTTATTACGTTTGCAATCGCAACAAATAATCTGCTCAGACCCCAACCAAGGAGCATCAAAAGTCGTGCTATAAATTCTCAGACAACACAAAAATTCATTGATGCCCTTCCAGACCCCTTCTGCCTACCCAAGGACGTCAGAGGACAAAAATCAGTTAACCACTTAACTGAGGAACTAAATTTAACCTTGCACAATACCCTAGATGCAGTTGCACCCCTAAAAACGAAAAACATTTGTCATAAGAAACTAGCTCCCTGGTATACAGAAAATACCCGAGCTTTGAAGCAAGCTTCCAGGAAATTGGAACGGAAATG